GTACCAACAACCCACCCACCCAGAAATCATTTAATAAGCTCACCCACCGAACCCCCACCCACCAAAATCTGCAAATGCCAACCACCTCACTTATAATACCCACACAGTCGTAACTCCCTCACCCCACCCACCGCCAACTTTAATGCCTCGTAACGCCATACAATATCTAGAGTAGATCAAAACTTTTGCTTCAAATTTATCTTGAAATGATAACAACAAACATCATTAATTTACAACCAAACACCAGTTCACCCACTTTCACATAACATAAAGCAGAGAAACATCTTATTTTTCTACGAATTCTATTACTTACTACCCATTACGCATGTAAAAAACCTTTATTTCTTACCCGAAACTTCTACTACCTCCTAAATTCAAATTTTCGATGTCAAATGGAATGCGAGGAAATGGGTCAAAACATCAACACCAAAGATTCAAAGACATGAATCACCCAAGGCGGCCATTAACATCAAAGGTAACATCTACACTCAGAGTATTATTTGTTATTCTTTCTTCCAAACATTATCCCAATAAGGTTCACACAAATCTTTCATCATGTACCACACCAAAGGTATAGAAACATTCTGATTTATTTCCAAAGTAGATCCCAATAACATATCTCCCATTCACAGTATTCTTGTATTTGTATAATGGCATGGGAGGAATAAATTCACTATCGATCGCCAAGAACATAACAGACTGGGCACTGAAGGCTTACTCTATTAATAAGGTGCAGAACCACATCAATCATACTTTCAATATTTTTTAAATACACCTTAAGTTATTAACAGTGACACCCTACGTTTATATCTGCAGGATAACAAAAGTCGAGAAGGATGCGTAAATGGTAATACTTTCTATCAATCAATACCGCTCCACCTTATTACAGTAAAACCGACATATTCCCAAAATCAAATATTTAAAAGTTAACACGTATAAATTATAGTACCCAAACAGTAAAATGATTTATTTAATGTAAGAATTTACCTGGGTTGGATCTCTTGGATCCCAACACACATGATTTAGTTATCTTAACCATAACTAAAGCCCTGAACCCTGCATCAATGACCTAATACCAGACTAATTTGTGTGAGTACAAAAAGATATATAATGTGAATTAAGAGACACTTTATCAAAAAATTCTAAATAAATTTTGCAAACTTTGACATTATAATAAATTTTAGATTTATTGGCAAAATACATAGCTGTTTGATATAAGTAGAATCAACAGTAGGAACATCATTGTGCCTAGTCTTTGATCCTTTATGATAAAAGACCCAAAAAACTTTCCAAAGTGACATTATTTTAGATCTTAGATTGGTGGGCAAAATACATAGTCGTTGAACATAAGTAGAGTCAACAACAGGCATAGCTTAGATGCATTATCCATAATAACATTCCAATAAAGTAGGTGATCATGCTTTACTCAGCCAACCAAAATCACAGTTAACAACAAAGTCCCCCCCAAAGTAGACCCTGTTCAAACGAACAGCACGTGCAGAACGCCTCAGGACAACCTCGTCCCTTGGATGTTTTTTTTTCATACCCGAAGACTCCCCGACGTCGGGGACAAACCCGCGGAGATCATTCGATCCAAATGAATGCGAAAGAACCGCATGTGATAGCATAGTGAAGGGGGTTCGTTCACGGAGGAAACCGAGGCGGGAGGAGATCTCGCAGCGACTACAGTACCACAAATTACATGCACAACCTAGCGTGTGCATCTTGTCACCAGGTCCAAGTTGAAAACATTTTGCACACTCTTTTATGAAACCACCAGCATGCACACCTCCACCTAAATCACTCAAAAAAACCTCAAATCTTGCTTTGGAGTAATCAAGTAAAATATTAACACAGAAAAAATGAGGGACCTTAAAAATAAGCCAATCATAGCGCCATGTTAAAGGTATAAATGCCTTCGATGATATTTTATTTTATTCAGCTATTTGCTATCAAATCAGTTAAGTTGGAGTTATTAACCTTTGACTCCACACATGTTGATGTAGGAAGTATTCCTCCGCCTAAGGAAATGGACACTGCTGTAGAGAACCGAAGAACTTTCACAGGGGAAGAAACAGATGTTTTCACAATGGTAATTATTTTTGATCGTGTAGTATTTATAGTAGGTTAAAACTTAGTGCACTTGGTACGACAATATCAAAGTTTTAACCCAAAAACAGTGAAATGAAATTATTATCTCCACTAACTCAAAACACACACCATTCGTCAACTAAGTGCACTATTTACAAATTCAAAACCAACCAATCATGTAAGAGCACAAGTCCCATAGCCCGATCCTGAAGATATTCAGTGATGTGGGAAAATATTTACCACAACATTAAACCCACCATATCCAAGAAGCACTGTTTTAAATATTTTTTGCACTCCAATGAAAATTTTACTTGTACACTGATACTTCCGCCAATACACAAAGCAATCCGGCGGTTTAAAATTACCTCACCAATTTTTTTCTGCAAATAGATTTAGGTTCTTTTTTACACCGCTTCTACTTTTAAAAAATTGCTTTTTTTAATGAAACGGAGAGTTTTCGCTAAATAAAAGTTGATAGTGTTTGAGAAAAAAATGACTTTTAAAAGTAATAGTGGGTAGTATTTGTTAAACTAATTGATGTTTGTGTAATAGAAATAGAAAAAGCACTTTTGACGCAGAAGCCGAGAAAAACAAAAGTTGGGGTGTTTGCAAACCAAATCCTTACACACTACGCTGTCCGTTTTCAGTTTCCCAACTTTGACATCTTCAGTAGTCCAAAATGATAAAATTAGATTCATTATTTTAACTTATATATCCATGTAAAGGCCAACAAATTTATACTCCTATGACAGTATTTTAAATAGAGAAATTTTTTATAAAATTTTCTTAATACATATATTACCGTGTATACAGATATAATCTGTCAAACCTAAACAACTTTGACTTTAAAATTTGTGTCTGGCCAACAAAAAATGGACGTTGGAGTATAAAACCGCACTGAAACTGTATAACATCCTCGTTTGATCGTGTAGTATTTATAGTAGGTCAATACTTAGTGCACTTGGTATGACAGCACCCAAGTTTTAACCCCAAAACAGTGAAATGCAAGCAATTGTTATCTCCACTAACTCAAAACACACACACCATTCGTCCACTCAGTACGTGCACCATTTACAAATTAAAAACCAACCAATCATGTAAGAGCACAAGTTCCATAGCCCGATACCGAAGATATTCAGTGATGTATGCAAATATTTACCACAACATTAAACCCACCAGATCCAAGAACCTCTGTTTTAAACATTTTGTGCACTACAATTAAAATTTTATTTGCATACCAATATTTTCGCCATTGCACAAAGAAATCTTTCGTTTTAAAATTTCCATACTAATTTTTTCGGAAAATAGACTTACAGACTCCCCCTGTCCGTTTTCAGTCTCCCAACTCTGACCCTCTTAGTAGTCCAAGATGATAAACCTAGATTCATTATTATAACTTATATATGTATGTAAAAGATAACAAATTTATACTTTCATGATAGTATTTTAAATAGAGAATTTTTTTATAAAATTTTCTTAATACCTAATTTTCAGTGTATATACATATCATTAGTCAAACTTGAACTACTCTGACTTTAAAATTTGTGTCTGGACAACAAAAAAGGGACGCCGGGAGTATAAAACCGCACTGAAAATGTATAACATATTATCCTGCCCCTATTGTACACGAATTTACACAAATTCCCCCACAAACAGTGTGGATCACATTTACCCTCAATTACGTACCTTTGCATAATACTGGACCTGCCAAAAAGTTAATTCGGATTCTGCAATAAACAAATACAGCCATATGATTGAATTTCACACTAATCATTTTTTAAAATAAACCGGCGCTGGTATATATATTTATCAGTAACTAAATCTGCTTTACGTAAATGCGTCAAGGTAAACAATCAACCGAATCCATTATTGAAAAAAATAATAGGAAGTATGCAAATTTCTAGATATAACACATACATCTAGTATATGGTCTCCCAAAATGTGATTATTCTTGCAAAAAACAGTGCGTACATTTTTTAATTTGTTTTTATTATAATAGATAATTGAATTAAAAGAACTGCCTGGGTGAAACTCACTGCCATGGATATGCCAGCCAATCAGGGGGTGGGGTGGCATATATGCTATATTATTTGAACTACTTTTTTCCTTTCATCTTTTTTTACCATGAATTCCACTTAAAAAATTAAAACATGACTCACTAAAAAATATTTTCATTCCTTGCCCACAGTGTCACAAAGATTGGAATTATTGTTCATTTCTGAGGAAGATTGGAACTTGGACTTGCAGGGATTCGCCACACGATCCGAAAGTTTAGGCTATGAAGAATGACTCTGCAGAGTTTTTATTTATTATAATTTTTGTTTTATAATGGGTCTGTAAATGTAGTATGTAGATTTAGGGCAGATTTAGGGCAACAAATCAGCCCCTGGAAGAGATAACAGGTACGTCACTCTACGCACATCCTCCATACATCCTCCCTACGAATATCCTTATATACCCCTCAACATGTGCTGCACTTAACTTCGTCAACAAAATCAGCACAAACACTCTTGTTGAAATTTTATAATTAAGAGAATGCATAAGGGCAAAAGCTGCCTTTAGGCTATGCCTCAACAAAAGTTTGGTGGACACCTAAAAACCAAAGAAGACAGCATATTTTTTCATCATATCCCTAGTCTCATTCCTGAGATTGGTTTTGAAAAAAAAATTGCAAGTAGGCTCACAGCTATATCCAACACCAAGGACCCTTCTTCCATCCCGTCTATATTGAATTTCTACATGGAACCAAAACACCACAGGTGCATTGGCATGTTGTCTGCCAAACACCCATAAGGTCCTTATGATAAGGACCTTAACTAATTTCAATTAGATGCCAAAAAGATTTTAAACCCGAGAAGCAAGATAACAGAATTCCAACACAAACACCCAAACAATTAGGAGTCCTTAGCTACGCCTTAACAAAATATTTTATATAGAAATGCTTCATTACTACACATGATGGGAACCCCCTTATGGCTGAGTCCTTAGCCTTAAAACATTACAAACAGCCAAACTCTTGGCAAAACCAAGCCCTAAAGGGCCATGGAATAGGTTGCCAAAGTTGGCCTTATTTTACATGCATAAGATAAAAACATAGATGACACTAAACATAGTTAATGTCTCTAGTAAACATACAATAGATAACCAAAGTTGGCCTTATTGTACATAACATAAAAACATAGTTGAACACAGCCACACACAACACAGTTAAAGCACAGTCTTCATTCCTTTTTCATCCCCTTGGTTTTTTTGGTAGATGTCGAAGCTTCAAACTCTCCAAACAGCTCACGTTTGAGTTTCTCAGTGTCAACATCCAAGGCATACCTTTTCTCCTTGGTCAGCAGTGGGCTTGAAACAGACTGCTGTGATGATCCAGCCTGAAAGTTTAAAAAACTTTGAGTTCTAGAGTATCAAGATTCTTTGCTAGGCTTTAACCAAATATTTAGAGAGAATACCACGCTTTCAGGCCCTGAAAACTCTTTAGCTAATCGAGTGAACTCATCTTCCTCCTGAAAAAATAACATGTAAGAAATCTAGTGAAGAATTTGTTTATACAGAGCGTAAAATGAAATAACTGTTTACCTCAACATCATTTATCTTAGTTGAGTAAAGTGCCAGCACTTTGGGATCGGTGTTCATCTTTATAACACTAAAAGTTTGATTTCCTTTGAAGCTTCTGCTTTCTCTTTTAAATTGCACTTTAAACAAAGCCTTTATATCAATGAGGGAGTTTATCTCAGATGGGAAGTAATGTGGCCCAAAGTTCCTCTGCAAGAATTTATCCTGTTCAGTTGACCATATAAGAGAACCTAAGAAAAATAGGACTTAGGATGCAAACACACCCTAGATATTTGTTCCTTAAGGGATGCGGCAGACTTTCCAAGCAAGCATGAAACCTCCCTATCCCAAAGCAGGAAGGAGGCATGTGTTGTGCCATCAACCACCCGTACGTTCACCTTATACCTGATTCCAATTAAAGATCTGTTCTTTAGCAATTATAGGAGTGGGTCTCAAAAAATAAAGTAATGAGTCGATCAGAAACCTAAGAACAGCATCATTTGAATTGCAAGAGAGGCAGCAAAAGCTGTCCCCATTTGGTGAAACCTTCCTGTTACAACCTATGCAAGAAATGTAGGACCAATCTTTGTGGCTGTCAATAGCCACAATTTCTCCGTAAACCCAGTACTTCCCATCCTGTTTTTCATCCAGATATCCAAGTCAATTTTCATTTTTTAACCTCTTTCAAATTAAAGCAATAATACACTTGCCTCCTGAAGTTTTGTAAGAGCCTCAATAGTAATCAAATCTTGCTGTCCAGTTTCTATGTCCCCATTGTCCGAGTTGTCCGTTGTTATTGAAAACCGAAGTCCCTTACTGGACCTTTCAGCCATCCTGAATTGATTTTTTCTTGTAAATTTTACGTACAACTGTTTTCTTGCCTTTGGTATCATTATATATGAATTTTCAAAAACTCCATACCTTGACCTGAATTCCACAAATTCATCCTCACTGCCATTTAAAATGACCTTGGTGGTGTTGAACATGTTGGAAACATGAACGTGACCTAAGATAACCTTAGTTGTGTTAGATATTAGAGCAAAAACTAAACTAAAGAGGGATTGGTGTTAAGATAACCTTGGTACTTCCTAGCCTTGCAACACTGCAGGAGCATTACTATTGGATCGGAAGTTGTCAACTTGTAAGTCAAGAGCATCTCAACCATGGGTCCCCAGAGAGTACATGCGATAACATTCCCCCTATGTATTAACCTTTATTTTAGTTTTTTTAATTTCAAAGGCACATCAAAACCACCTATCTAAAGTGTTCATAAACAAAACAACAACTCACTCGGGGTCTCCCAAGACCATCTCCATCAACTTTCGTGGCCTGTCATTCCTCAAAATTGTTTTTGGGTCCTTATCGTGAACAACCTGGCCTATTAAGTCTGAATAGAAGAACGATATTATTTGGTCTAGTGTAGTTAGTTTTATATACTTTAAATGTGGATATAAAGCTCACCGATTCCATATTTTTCATCTATGTTGTCTTGGGCTTGCAATGAAGCAAAAGACACCAAAGAGAAAGTTCTTATGGGAAACGGGACTCCCCTAATCTCGAACGCAGCACTTTTGTTAAAAAAACGGAGCCTATAGGCACTTGTTGAAGTTTTAAAAAACATATAGTTCTCTTCAACCATAAAGTTTTTAACTGCGAACACCCGTCCTTCCTTGAAGATACCAATGAACTTATTGATGAACTGGTCTGGGATGTGTGCATGCATCTTGGACCCCTGAAATTTTCCAAAGTGTAAACATGGATGCTATGTAAATGAATGCAAAGTATTAGGACATGAGATTAAATTTAAAAAGTCCAGACCTCTTCGTCATGGAAAACAACCTCCAGCGATTCTGGGAAGCAGTCATGTGCTGGCTCGCGATACACCCTTATCGCCCTAGCCTTTATCGCCCATGTTGTTTTGCTCTGGTCAATTTCGCGGAATAAGGACCACATGCCAACCATGTTTAAGAACGAATGCCTGAGTTTCTGTGTATTTTGCTGGGTATGAGCTGTGGAGATTGGAACAGCCACGCTGCCCTATTTATAGCTGGATAACTGAGTCCAGCCCACTTCTAAAACAGAGTCCACCACATATCCAACCAATGATGGTCGCTAATGACGAATATCGCACTGACTATGATCCAGATATCCTTTTGAAAGTTGCAAAGTCTTTGACTCTTTACTTCGTCCGTCATTGATTTCCTTCCGTCCTGGCTTAATATGTGTATTACTTTTATTTTTAGGTATTAATACGAAATATGCTTTTACTTTTCTTGAGTATCCCAGGTCAGTTGTTTGATGTTTTTGAGTCAAAGGATATATTGATAAAGTAAAAATGTCACCACTCGAGGATCCTTTTAGGGTGAGTCAAGATCAATTGAACAACTTTGGTGTTCTTATTTATGATTAATACTGATAAAGTAAAAATGTCATCACTCGAGTCTTTTAGGGTGAGTCAGGACCAATCGAACAACTTTGGTGTTCTTCTTTATGTTTAAAGCCTATAATTTTGCATTACTGAAACCAAAAATGTCTCAGATTCTAGTTTCATTTAGACAATAAGTGATGGAATATAACACAAGGTAGACATTTTTGTTTTTAATTTAAGTTAGAATATAGATGAAATTTCACTAGCAATGTAGACTAGGAGGCATTTTTTATCTTCTCTCAGAAAGCACTTCCAAGAAGATCACTAGATCAGTAATAATGAGGTCAGGGCAGTGATGCTTCTTCATCCAAATGTGTGTGAATTCCAATATTTGCTTCAAAGAGTAACATTTTTTCTTGTTAGTTGTTACTCTCATTTACTTACGTACAACAGTAGTTATGCTTCGCAGTTTAACTTTTTTTGGCCTATAAAAGTCCCAAGTTCACCAATGAGTTTAAAAGCAGTTGAATATGAATTCACACATTTTTTGCATTGTCTACTATAGAAACAATCAGATTAGTTTACTCAACCATTCTCTTGTAAGACAAAGAGAGTGTTGTGTGTCACTTGAATAGATGTTTCATATTTGTAAGCAATGGACATGCAAAAGAGGGATTGGATTACAAACACGAGCAGGGAAACATATCTTCTTAAAATTAAAATTTTAATTTTCTAATTCTCATCTTTTCTGTCTTTCATAATTAAAATTCTCGAGTTAAACTAAAATTTATCTTTCTTCAATTCCTCTTGAGTTCTGCATGAGTTCATTTTCTTCTTAAGGGTGCTACTCCGTCTTTTACCCCGTGGCAAATTGCCTGAGACTTGATAAAGTTTGCCTTTAGGCTTTAGTTATTTCTATGCTTTTCTTTACCACAAATACTTAAGGAACGCGTGGAGCTTGTTTTTATTTCCTTAACTAGCAATACGTAGGGGTGGTTATGGAAAGTTGGTGCAGAAGGAGTTGGAGTCTCAAAGAGAACTGGTGGATTATGGAACTGGATCATTGGGTAATTTCCCACCTGTAATGCCACCACAATGTAAGTTCAGTTCCACTTCCACCGCAGTGTGAATCCTTTTGTTTGTCTTCTAGACATTTTCAATAACTTATTAACTTATATTCTTTCTGGAATTTGTTTGCAATATAAGTAATCCTTTAGTCTAATTGGCTTCTAGTTAATGCGATTCTTCTGTACATTTTGTTTCCCATTCCATGTAATACGTTTTTCTATGAAAAAGTGATGATGCTTTGCTTGGGCAGATAATTTCATATTTATGGAAGTTTATGCCTTTCTTTTTTGTTTTACGTACCCTTAATGTCCTAATGTGTGTTGTTTTTCATAATTCCTTTTCTTGTTTTCGGCCTAGATGCCCTATTGCTATTAACACTCAAAATGATGTCTGTTCTGCTATGTGCAGTACTGACTCACTTATTCTAATGTACTTTTATACTCCTTATAGTGTGTACTTGACCTAAAAGCAGACATAAAAGGGTGTATCCATGTTAAAACTCCCCCATGTCAGAGGATTTGGATATTACTATATTAGGGGTTGTTTGGAACTAAAAAGTGCTATGGAAGAAAATAAGGAGTAATATAGAGGAGAAATTTGGAAGGGGTGAAAATCTGGAGGAAATAAAAAATCCTTTGAACCCAATTTATCAATTTAGAAATTTGTTTAACCTACTTTTTTATAAATATTTCTATGATATAAAGAATAAGATATGTAAATATTTGTAAAGAAAATAGTTATAATCAAATATGGTTCTCATTCATATTTTCAAAGAAAAATGAATTTAATCTTTTTTTTGGTTACTCGTCCCCCTTTCCTTAACATTTTCCAAATTCCTATCATAGCCTTGGGGGGGGGGGGGGGGGGGGGGTTAAGGCCTCTAAGAAACATGGGATGTCTAGGATGCTAGTGAAGAGACTTGAATATTCTCCACTATTGCACCAGTCCTACTCTACCCATCAGCAGAGTAGAAAACCATAAGGGGGATGAGAAGAAAAATTAGTAGATTCCTTTGGCAGCGTATTATAATTGAAAATATATACTCCCATTTTTTATTATTTACTAGAATTCAGAAGTTTTATTTTGTTTGCTTATTGCGCCAATCTTGCATCTCCCTTTTGTAAGCTTGGAAGGATTAAGAGATAGTAAATATATTTAATAACTGTGGAAATGTCAAATCATAAAATTAAGCCTAAAAGGGTGTTGGGAACTAGGGAATGCCAAATAATAACTAAAGTAAATTCTATTTTTCGCATTAAATAGATCAAAAGACGTAGTAGAACAGCAAAATTTAAGAACATGAAAGAATTAAAATTAGAGGGAGTGGTAAACTAAAAACTGAGTTTACTCCTATTATCTCAATTACTTTTTGACAACTGATGTGTAACAGATGGTCGGCATGGTGGGAATCATGGTCACGGAGGTTCTTACCGGCACGGCAGAGGTGGTCCCATAAACTGCTAACTACTTCGGCATGTGTTCCTTCAATTGTTCTATAATTACATTGTTCATTAAGTATATTTTTCTTTTAATGCATATTTGGAGGAACAGATTACCAGCGTAAGCGGAATCGAGATGATGACCGTCCTAGACTCGATTACTCAAAGAGAGTTTACCGTCGTGAACCTACAAAAGATTCTGACCAGGAAGCTCGGCCGGTAAAATGTTTTGTTTCTGAATTAAAAAATACTGTCCTTCAAGATCTCTCTGTTTTTATCATTATGTAGCATCATTTCCTGCTTACTTGATATACTTTGATGTTTTGATATATTTGCATGGGAACTATCTAGTTACTGGTAGTTTACTCCACTAATAGTAAACATTCTGAATGGTTTGATGGTCTGAATTAAAAAAAAAAAGAGTTTCACTTGGTCACACGACTATTTAGCCGCTCATCCACAACTTTCATTTTCCCACTTGTCCTGCAAAAATCAACTAAATATTGAACGGAAATTAACCTGATAAATGGTCAGAAGAACCTTAAGTGACCAAAAATCTCTAGTCGGGACTGGAAGTAGAAACATGAAAGTTAGAGACAACAATGAGAATGATCAAAAGCGGAATATTTTCTGAATTGATTTACTGGGAAGCGGAATAGGACTGGAAGTAGAAACATGAAAGTTAGAGACAACAATGAGAATGATCAAAAGCGGAATATTTTCTGAATTGATTTACTGGGAAGCGGAATTGAGGTACTACAAACTAGATAAAAAAACAAAATGACGTTTCACGTTTGGAATGAAAAAGTTTATCCAAATTTTTGGGAATTGGGCCAAAGTCAGGACAGAGTATTTTACCTAATATCTGGAATCTGGGATTCTCTGCAATGTCCTATTTTCTACGGAGTAACTTTTTCATACATGAATATGGTATTGGTTTGGAGGGAAGGGAGGTGACAAGTTAATTTTCCTTTTAAGAACAACATCTGTAGTGTTACAACTTCATGTTTATACAAAAATAAATGATAATTTAGTATAAACTCAATATCATTTATTTAGCATCAAAAGGATAAATCAGTATAAACTGAAGATCATTTATTTAATGTTACCATTAAGCATATGTAGTCCTAATTTTAGAATAAAAAATAACCACACCTCAGACATACTCCAAACCATCCCTTCAAAAACATGCCCTTACCCTTTAAAAGTATATTTTGGCAATTCTACTTTGTAGTGCATAATATGTCCCTGTCTTTGCAGGAAAAGAATCCGCGGTTCCGTGAGAGTGGCGACTCAGATGAGGAGGATGACGATGATAGGAAGCGATCCCATTAGATATTTCTGTAGTTCACTTCGGAAACTCTTTACACTGGAAAAAGGAATGACAAGAGTCTTTTTGTTCCCTTTTCAAGTTCACTTTTCTTTCCTATATCCATTGTGCTTGATTTTAGTCACCTAAGTAGCATTTGTAGCCTTATTCGTTTCCGTTAGACTTTCCAAAAGAAGAAACTAGTCTCTACTAAAATTCGGAATGTGTATGATCTCCATGGATGCTGTAGAAGTGGTCCCGTTGCTGGCTTTGTAATTTCTTATTCCAGTTTTCCAATTGATCTATTATTAAAAAGAGATCAAGTGAAACATTTAATGCTTCACTTTTGAAATTGTAATTATGGTTGACATAAGTCAGGTTCTTTACTGAAAGTCTGTCTGAAACAATAGGTTCTGAGATTGTAATGTTGTACGGAGTATTTAAAAGTGTTGGGTTTTAGGGAGTGTTTGCAACAACTTAAAAAAAGCACTTCTCAGCTTTTGGCTTAAAAAAGAACTTATTTATTAAACACTATCAATTTTTACTTTTTCTCGGCTTGCGTGTGAAAAGTGTTTTTTCTCTTTTCTATTACACAAAAATCATTTATTTTACTAAATACTGTCAACTTTTATTTTTCAAAATCACTTTTTTTTCTCAAACACTATCAACTTTTACTACTAATCACTTTTTCCTTACATCTCCAAAGGTACTTTTTTTTAAACAGAAACAGTTGCAAACACTCCCTTAGAGACCAAATTTTGTTTGCATGTAAGTGTGAACCTCTCTTTAAGTGCAAATAGGGATGGATCGGGCCCGGGTCCGGTTCAGGCCTAGGCCCGGCCGGGCTTGGATGTTTTTGGGGAAGGCCCAAGACTAGCCTGGGAGTCTACCGGTTCCGGGCGACCGGGCCGGTTCCTTTTTTGTTTGTTTTCTTATTTATTCCACCCCCTCGAAAACACCCAGCCCAGCCCACCTAAACCCAGCCCAAGGCCCCAAACCCAAAAAAACAAAAAAAAATAATTATAAAGCCTGGACCGGGTCCGGCCCGACCGGGTAGGTTCTCATTTTACAGGTCCCGGAATCGCCCTCGGTTGACCGGGCCGGTTCCCGGGCCGACCGGAATCGGTCCACCCTTAAGTGCAAACATGTTTGCATCGAACCTGGAACCGAAACGGAAATTAGCATTAGATACAAAGGTTCATGGTTGTCTTGAACCGAAATTGGATCGAGTCCATCCTTAAGGATTACTTCTAAGTTGTAACTTGTAAGTAGTTTAAGGATTACTTTAATTTCAAGTTCAATCTAGTTTTTGGTTTTGTAAGATGAACCTATGCGGGTGTCCATAGAATTCTAAGCGTTTATGATTGCGTTAAAACGGTTAAATAGAGAAATCATGTCTGTGTGATTGATTACTAGTTAATAATGTTGGCACTTGGCAATAATGTTGGCAGTGGATTGGTGACTTGTGACCTCAGTTACTAGTCCAACTGCTCCATCAACTCGATTAGCTTTATTGGTCGGCATGTTAGCTGAACTTGTTTCATAACACATAAATTGGCTGAATCGAGTGAATATGTTGAAATTAAAAAAAAAACAATAGTTGAAATGACTCAATTGATTGAATCTGCTAAATTATTGAAAGATTATACTTAAAATTAAATCTTCAAAAATTTTACTAAGTTTAACTGACACGGGGAATAATAAAGTAAAAGTAAATAGTTGTGATTTGTCCAAATTAGAGACAAATGATAGGAAAAATAAATTCATAAATTAAAAAGGAAGTTTGAAAATTTTTGGGACATACAAAAAGGAAAGATGACAAAGATAAGAGACGGAGGATGCATTTTTGTTTATAAAATAAGGAAAAATTATATGAATTAAAATGATTCTCTACAAGACCTTCACCTAATTCAGTTAGAAATGTAACTCTCTTATTTTGATTATTACATAGTTTAGTACTTCAGTGAGCAAACTCAAAAGTTACTTGTTTTATAAATAAAACTTGATTGATAAGGTTGATAATTGAAAATAAAGGTCATCATATGAGCCCTAGAATATGCTTGTGTTTACTCAAACTCTTAATATTAAGTGTAAGCTAATTACAATTATGACTCTAATTACAAGAAAAATCACTGCTATGTCATAAAGTTATTATAATTATGACTCTAATTACAAGAAAAATCACTGTTATGACCCTAAAGCCTTTAGTGCACATACAAGATTTTCTCATTAATAATAATATATGCCACTGCCAGATGGAGTTTTGGCTGCACAACATAAATAATGTAACCAATGAACAAGCTCAGGCGCTTGCCTATAAATAAATTATGAATTGTGTCAAGTGGACACAATTAGCTGTTCTTTCTTATGTGAAACTGTGAAAGTGATGCCATTGGAATTATGGGAAAAGATATTTGTGGAGATTCCGTCACTTGCAAGTGGCAATTGTATTCTTTTAATTCTGCAACTTTACTTTATTCTCTTAGTTTGATCTGTAACTAACAAATATATACAATTTATACAATTTAAGAATTTCTAAAGTGATAGATTTTTAAGCTCAAATTCAACATATTTTTCTAATTCACACAGGGCGTTACCTTAACCCTCATTAAGATACAATGCGCTTTATGTCATTTATAAATGTTACTGATAACGTGAAACATGTCAATGTGACCGCTAAAGAATTTTCTTGTGACTTTTCTTAGCGAATTAAAAAAAAATAGAAAGGTGAAGGAAAAATCATTAAAAAAAATTCGGAGTCTTTTCCGATGGATTTCATGGCAGCGGCTTCGAATGGTGGCTTGCGATGGTGGTTTCTGGCAGCGGCTGGACCCAAGGGCGGAGTTAGGAGGCCTTGGCCGCCCCAACATTTAATTTTTTTAATGTTATTCGTATGGCTTTAAGCCTTTAACACGTACATATATAAGGCTTTTCTATAGTAGCAAGCAGACCGAATAGAACCTGCCACCTGCGGTGAAACGGAAAGCCATAACACCTAATTTGAAGTTGTGAACTACAGTAAACTAGTAAGGATAACTTTAAAGATCGAGTTTAATGACCATCTAACATGAATAAGCAGTAGTTCAGGGGGGCTTTGGTCGTCCCTTAGCAACTTTTTTATTTCACTAAATTTCATCTTGTAAATTTTTTAACCCCTTACTTTTTGTTAATTTTGATATAGTAGTGAAAAATACTTTGATTATCTCCCAATTTTCATACTACGTCGTAGTATGTGAATAAAAAATTCTCATTAGCTCGTGGTGCCCCTCTTTTTAGAGGCATAAATGCTTAATTATTTCATAAAATAAATAAATTACATGGTACTACGTACTCCCTCTGTCCCTAAATTTACTTCCAACTTTTTCTTTTCTTCCGTTCCAAAAAGAACTTCACTTTCCATTTTTGGCAAAGAATTTGTGGTTCACAGTATTTTTCTCTTCTCTGCACAACTCTCCACCACACAATTCTCACTTTCTTAATCACCGTGCCACTTTAATTTGAAAGAACAATCAGGGACGGAGGTAGTATTAAATATGATTCAATCAACGAAGGAGGCGTACACCTAAAACAAATTCGGGGAAAAGTTATATATAAAAAATTTAGGATAAATAACGTACGCATGACGCATCAATACCCCCATCACATTCTAAGAGCATCTTTAATGGTATAATGTGCACGGTGCACACGTGGCATGAGAGATGACCACATAAATATTAGTAAATAAATTATTTCTCTCCTTATTTAAATGATTTTATACAGTTTTGGTAAGTTTTTATCCACAATGTCAAGGAGACCGTCTAATGTTGACATTGTTGTTGACATTGTAGGGAAAAACTTACCAAAATTGTATAAAATCATTCAAATAAGGAGAGAAATAATTTATTTGCTAATAATTATGTGGCTATCACTCATGCCACATGTGCACCGTGGACATTATAGCATTGGAGATGCTCTAAGTCCGCCCCGGCTGGACAAGTGTAGGGTGGAAGGGACTAGGGTAGAGATTTCTTATAATTTACAATGAAAATATTTGGAATAATTAAACCAAAGGTTAGTCATGTAAAAAAAAACAAAATGAAAAGTGATCACTTTTTTGTACTCGTATTTCACAAAGTTGTATGTAGTATATACTCCCTCCGTCGCAGAAAATTCTTCCAACTTTGACTTGGATCGCATATTTAGGTAGTGGAATAAAGTAGAAATGTATGATTGTAGTTGTGTAAGAAAAAGGTGAAATGAATGTGAGCCACACAAATAATCAAAAAGGTGAAGTTGGGAGAATTTTCTGGGACGTCCCAAAAAGGAAAGTTGGAAGAATTTTATGCGACGGAGGGAGTAATATTTATGTCCTTATCTCATGAAAAATTATTACGATTGCAATTTGCAAAACAAAAATAAATTGACATGTTACATGGTGGCATCAGGGTGATATCACTTTCTTAAGGGTGAACAAAATGGAAAACAATTTTGTTCACCCCTCAAAAGAGGGAGAACATCATCCCCATCATGCGAGGAACTACGTATATAGGCTATATAGTGGGTTAAAATCCCGTGCAACTTATATTTTTTTCAAATTTTTTAGTGTTTTATTTCATATTTAGCTCACCTCTAATGTTTGAGTCTACTATAATTACTCTTTACCACAGTCTAATCCAAATTCTTGGATCCGTCCTTGATCCCATCCTCCAATGCTGCCACATGACATAACAATATACTCCCTCCGTATCAAATTACTTGACCCACTTTCCTTTTTTGGTGTATCAATTTAATTGACCTCTTTCCTTTTTTGGAAAGAATCCCACTCAAAAAGCAGCTACAGTACTGCTACAGTACCGCTACAGTGTCGCTACAGTACCAAAAACCTCTTATTTTTAATAAAATCTACAGTAATTGTCTTAACTGCGTGAAAAGTAAACAGGTCAATTAATTTGATACGGAGGGAGTATTACAATTTTACAATTGTTAAAACTTTTCATCTTTGGTTCAATTTTTTCAAAAAATATAACAATATTTTTTTAATTGTTTATGATCTTTCATATGATACTAATATTGCATATTTAAAATTTCAAAAAATATCCGGCTAAAAAAGATATAATTTTTTTCGTTTTTCAATTTTTATATGCAATATGAATATCATCGGAAAGATCATAAAAAGTTATGGAAAGTTACGGAATATTATACTTGATACTAGTATATTTTTTGTGGAAATTAAAAAAATTATAATAATTTCAAGAAAAAAAGAATTGTAATGCCAAATAACAAGTATGGGGAGGAGAGAGTGATATTCACTATCGAAGGAGGGGTGAACAAAATGGAACTCAACAAAATGGCTCCCTCAATTACTCAATCTTTAAATAAGAGGAGTTCAAAAGAAAGAAATAATAACGTTTAAGAAAGGGCACACATTATTCAATGTTCATTACAACCTGATTAATTTATATATCAGACCAAATTAGTTTA